TTATTCTAAGATAGAGGCCTCTTGCCGCCTATATCCTGCCAGAAGCCTATTGTGCTTTAGCTCAATTTACAAAAGTTTGCCATCATAATTAATAATTATCAGTTTATTATACTGTCGCACTCTTGTTGCATAATTAAATTATGAGTATCTTTAACTTCTCTTGGATGGATAACCAGTAAATTGAGAAGGCAGCGAGACGTTCTAGTTATTTTGTAATAAACAAAACCGTTTTGGTTATTTTGTGATAAATAATCCGTTTTTGTTATTTTGTGATAAATAACCCTGTTCTGATTATTTTGAAATAAATAATCCTAGTTTCACTTAACTGATAATCTGAACAGTCTGAGTAAAACTATATCAGTTAATTTAGTTTAGAATAAATTATACTGATTTACTACCCGTTGAGGAGTGAATGTTTGCTAAGTCGAGCAACAAGTGGTGATATACAATTCATTGTTTAATTTGAATAAACCACTTATTAAACGAAGATCAAGTTAATTATATTATTCTTCGACCACATCATCCAATTCTAGGCTAAGGTTGAGGTTGATTTCATCACGACGTGTAGCAAGGCCATATTTCAGTCCAATCCAGGAAGCTGACCATCATCTCGAACTTCAATTAAGTCAAATATCAATTATTGGTGTTGGTAATCAAGCTATTTGTAAGGCGTTAGTTCGAGGTATTTATAATTAGATCGATTTATTACCCGAGTCTCGCCAGCCGGCAGAACTCACACGTGAAACGAACCCTGGAGAGTAATCTAATTAAGTATCTATTTTATAGTTTGAAACGTGGCTGGTCTCGACTGTTCGTAGAGACAACAAATTTTTACTTCACAAAATAAATTACTTAAATTTATTTAAATTATTAATTAAGTATGAAATAAATTATCCAAATTTTAGTTAAATAAATTCTACGAACTGGGCCGAAAAGACACGCCCGTTACACCTAGAGTGTAACTAACTCGAAGCCGTGGCTTATAAGAGTCGATGCTGCTCCAGATGCCTGTAGCTTTAGATTTTACGGCGGACCAAGCCGATAGCTTTCAAAGCTACAAATAGCTAAATTGATTTAATTCGCGTAAAGAATATGGTCCAGGGCAAATCGTGGGTGGCGATACTCGTTGAAAAGTGGGTTCAGCTCCGACACAAAACCAACCTTTACCGCGTACTGCTCCGCTGATCGCTTAGTTAGAAAAATAGAGCTAAATGGTCGACAAATACAAATATTGAAAAATACAGCTCAAAGTAAGTTCAATACCGCGTCCAATTCTTACCAATATACCACCTGACTTACAACAGGTACTACTACCACTTCGGTGTGCTTTAACGTTGTCCAGCGGTTGGGTTCGAGCCCTGGCAATTGCAATTTTTCCTCTGCGATTTTCGGGGCTTGCTCCCTTGCCGACTGTACCTTGACCAGGTTTCTGTGATTTTTCCTTGGTTATTGTGCCCCTAAAATAAGCGGGGCACAGGCAAATGCGGGTACAGACTGTAAGCCGGCCACAGCCGCAAAAACGGAGGGTCCTGTTACAGGACTATATAGGAGGAATAGCTACAGGAGGAAATAGCTACAGGAGGAAATAGCTACAGGAGGAAATAGCTACAGGAGGAAATAGCTACAGGAGGAAATAGCTACAGGAGGAAATAGCTACAGGAGGAAATAGCTACAGGAGGAAATAGCTACAGGAGGAAATAGCTACAGGAGGAAATAGCTACAGGAGGAAATAGCTACAGGAGGAAATAGCTACAGGAGGAAATAGCTACAGGAGGAAATAGCTACAGGAGGAAATAGCTACAGGAGGAAATAGCTACAGGAGGAAATAGCTACAGGAGGAAATAGCTACAGGAGGAAATAGCTACAGGAGGAAATAGCTACAGGAGGAAATAGCTACAGGAGGAAATAGCTACAGGAGGAAATAGCTACAGGAGGAAATAGCTACAGGAGGAAATAGCTACAGGAGGAAATAGCTACAGGAGGAAATAGCTACAGGAGGAAATAGCTACAGGAGGAAATAGCTACAGGAGGAAATAGCTACAGGAGGAAATAGCTACAGGAGGAAATAGCTACAGGAGGAAATAGCTACAGGAGGAAATAGCTACAGGAGGAAATAGCTACAGGAGGAAATAGCTACAGGAGGAAATAGCTACAGGAGGAAATAGCTACAGGAGTAGCTTGGAGGGGGCCTGGTACTGCGAAGTAATGCTAACGCGGTCCCGCAGTATCAGGTACAAGAGAGGGGAGGGTTTTAGTGAGTAAGAATCTCACACTACCGGCAACCAACATCTCCAACATCTAGCCGGTGTCTTATGAAGATTTCCCTCCTCTCGCAAAAAAAAAAAACAAACACACACACACACACACACGTACGCGTACATACTTACAGACACCATCGCGGGAATAGTCGGGGAAGCTTTCTAGGACCTCAACACGTCGAGATGTGATGAAAACTCGATTTTCGAAAAACGGGGTAAAACCAATAACTTCCCGATTTAAGAAAATTTTCAATTGTCTTAGCGGGAAGTTAAAATTTTTATTGTTCTAGTTTTTTGAAGTATTTGTTGTAAGACCAATTTTTTTCAAGTTACAGGCTATTAAAAATCATGCGAAAGTTTTGAATTTTTTCAATATCCCTTAATTTTTGTGATTAGTATATAAATCAATTTAAAGAAATTGAGTTCTTCATTATCCACTTGTCATTATCACCAAACATATAGAGTACTCAAATTGACAATAGAGTATAAGCTAGTACAGAATACGATTTGATAGCATGTATAATACTCGATATTGTCATTGGTGTTGGCAGATCTAGTAGTGTTAGAACACAACACGCGACCACCAGTTGTCCCACGAGATACACTATCCCTTCTGTATTCACTAAACACCTAATTGTCACCCCTCTACGATTATGAGCATCCCCAGGCCCACGCATAGGGTGCCAACATTCAACATCGACGATACCGATCGCCCTTCTTATTTACCCTCTCATATCTGTTTTCTCTTTCGAATCTTTTATAAATGAAATATGTCTGTTTCATTCTGAAACAGGAACTAGCCGAGCTTGTAGAAAATAGGCCTTGACTTTATAGTACTTCTACCAGTATGATATATCTCGACTGAATCAAAACATTTGATTTATGCTAGTAGGTAATAAAAATCATTTGATTCCCACACTAATTCTTTAGTTGACAGTAATATTTGATCGGTGATATCACAATAAACATATGCTAGCACTCGAATATTCAAGCTTTCGAAAGTACTTGACTCACGATTATTTTTTATTAATGGTAATATTAACAATCTACTTTAGCTTCGACTGTGGTAAGAATTGCGATGTAATTTCAAACGAGGAAAGTTCAAATATTGATACAGTTTAAGTTTAAATGAATACATACTATTGTAATCAATGTAAATCATTTAACTAATTTAAATGATATGCAATACGCTGATAGAAAAATGATCTTGACTCAAGAGAAATAATCGTGATGGAAGAAACTTATTTTGAAGACAATCGGTTGTTGCGCTTTACGAATTTTTTGTCTTAAATCTCAACATCTTGGCTTGAGATATCAAGATATTCGATCAGTAACTATTGATATCGTAATAATAATAATTCATAATCCACTGTTCTTTTTTTCGTGTAGATCAAGCCATTTTTTGAAAATTTTTAATTGCGACATCTTTTGAACGAATTAATTGATTTAAATTCGGTTTGCGACAATTAGCGTTGTTTTTTAAGTTTAGAAGCTGATTAGATTTCGGAATCAACCAATAGAGAAGTTGAAGCATTATTAAGACATTCTCGTGAGAGTAGTCAAAATAGCTCCTAACGATCTCAAACGTCAAGATCTGATAAGAACTCGATTTTCAAAAATCGGGGTGAAACCAATAACTTCCGAATTTTTTAGAATCATTAATTTTCATAAAAGGATATTGAAAATGGCCGAAAAATACTTTAAAAAATATCCAATGTCACCAAACTATTACCTCAATCGTTTATAATATACTAGAGTGAATTGAAATTTTGAGAATATTCATTTGAAAATAGTTACAGTAGGTATATTATACTCTAGAAAGCGAAAAAAAAGCTTTTTTCCAAAAACGTTTTTTCAGCTTATTGATTAGATATTTTATTAAAACTTTTCCCAGGTCATCATATTATTCTTAAAGAATAAAAAAAAAGTTGTTTATTTTGTCTAGCGTTTTTTGTCCAATTTTCAGAGAGCGCCAAATTCGAGTCCAAAAAAAAAAGTTTTACCATGGCAGACTAAGTGTCTTCGGATTAATAAGTTTGAAACAAAAATCGGGAATGACATACTATCTTTTGCCAACAATCGATTAAACCAAAATAATGGCGGCTATATAAATAAAAATATACGAGAATCTACATATTTTTGTACCGTTTGCATCCTGTGAATTTTTGTATTATAAATTTTTCCACCACATTTGAAGTTTGAAGAGGTGGTTCTCGACACTATAAGACATTAAAAAATGAAATAAAATTTTTTTCAATTTTCCGAAAATTCTAGACTAAACATTTACTTTAAGTAACGAAACAAACAATTAATAAAATAAAAAAAATTAATTTTTCGAGCTGTATATACCGATATTTATTTACCGATCTCCCCCTTTAAAATAACTTTCGAGTTCTCTATCGACTTGTTTTCGGTATTTATTCATCTTTTAATGTTTAGAAATGTTAAACATATAAGTATTCATTTGCAAAGCTGCGAAAATCCTTGTCATAATTTTTGATTACAATATTTTCGAGCTTAAAAAGCTCAAGAGGTCGAATGCATCTTATTCGTAAGCTCAGAAAGTCAAAATTAGTGCAAAAAAACTATATTTAAAGCTTAATGAGCTTAATTACTCCGTAACTGATATAATCTGGCCTGCTTGATCAACCGTTTTCCAAATTTTTTAGCTTTAACTTATTGAGGAATAAGCAATTTATCAGACGTTCATATCTCGAACTGATCGTCAATTTTGATTCGATTTAAAGTATTTAATGTTACTTTTTTGATGCACGTAGAAGATGACAGTATTAAAATAATTAAATCATCGAGGGATCTAGCAGCGATAGAAAAAAACCTTATTGGAAATATTTGTATCAGTTTATGGACCGGAATATTTTTTAAAGGAATCGTTTAATGCCAATATCATTTACAGAATTCAATAAAAATTTCAAAACATGAGAACATTTAATTAATTTATTAATTATGAGTTGCGAGTAGAAGATTTATATTTTTATGAAATGTCGAAACCTATTGAGAAAAATTTTTGTAAAATTTGAATTGAGTTAAACCCATCTGGACGAAAGACATTATTACTCTGAAAGCGAGCAAAATAGCTTCTTGAGACTTCGGGACGTCGACAAAGGACTGTCATCGAGTAACTTGAATTTTCGAGAATTTATAATTTTTTTAGGCGGAAGTAAATCATGTTTTCAAGTTGGTATTGATTATGGTTACGCGACCGGAGATCCGAAGACAATTGATCCGTGACTATAGATCCGCGACATTAGATCTGACGACATTAGATCTTCATGGCGTTAAAACGCGGGTTATCGTGTTACGCCCTTTTAATACGGTTTTTGTGTGTGTTTATTCGAAATTAGACCAACACAAACGCGAATAATCGTGTTGCGCCCTTTTAACATATTTTTTATGTGCATTTATCCTCGGAGCAATTGTCGTCGGATCTAATGTCGCGGATCTATTGTCGCGGATCAATTGTCTTCGGATCTTCGGTCGCGTTACCATTGATTATTGGTAATAAACTTATTTTTGTGTAAAAGTTGTAAATAAAAGTAAACTTGTTTGTACATATTCAATGAAGACAGTTATTATTCTTACCATTCTAACTAAATCCATGGTTACGGGAACTTCTTGATCGGACAAGCTCATCATTTTAAATAATTCTCACTATTTTATAAATTTTCACATCATACACCTTCACGAACACTATTAAAGTAATAATCATGAATATATATTTGAAAAATTTGAACTATTGTAGTCGGTCGACTTTAGTCCAAACAAAATCGAGAGCTTCACTCTTTCGCGAGTGACTTGATCTGTGGTAACGATGAGAAAAGGCTAAGTTTTCTGAGAGAGCATTCTATATTTTCAAGAGTGGGGCAGCAGGGGGTTTCATTCTCACTTTATGGGGTTGTAAACGCCTACTTCATGATATTTTGAAACACCTCTATAAGCTTTTCATCCCTCTTATGTATCTATACACCTCCAGGGGTGGTCTGAACATCCAAATCGAGGGCGTGGTTTCATTTTCATTGGCTTTACGTAACTCACTATAGCGATATATATTTATATATAGATGTGTGTGTTTATTTATGTGTAGGTGTGTATGCACACTTTTATTATTTCTATTAAATTATTTACTTAAATATAAGTTGTGATTATAAATTTGATAATGTATTTCAAAATTTTGGCTTGTCTTCAAGCTTTTAATGATATGTATATTTATTAGTCACAAAAAATTGCTCAAAATAAATTCTAAATATTATCATTGCACAATACATTGTACATGTAGTCATCTCTCTAAAGGGAAGTAGGCTTATAAGCCTAAAGACTACGGTGGCCCTCAGAAGCCAATAATTATTTTCTGTAATTATTAACGACTGGGACTTGTAGATTTTGTTCGATCTTGGAGAAATTCTATCCTGCTTTATAATAGAAAATAAATTTCGGATATAACTTTTTTACAATGGAAAAATTGAAACATTGAAACTTGCCATTAAAAAAATTGAAAATTTTTAAAAATTCGGTTCAAATCTGATTTTCGAAAGTTCCGTTCTCATTGGATCTTGACGTTATAAAAATTTGTGAGCAGTGATATCTTTTAAACAAGTCGTCCGTGATTTTAATCTGGCTAGCGGTAGTCAACGCAATTAGTCACTAGTCCACACGCGCGCGCGTATGTGTGTGTGAGTAAAATTTTATTGAACGATATCTTTTGAACAAATTAATCGATTAGGATGAGTAAAATGGGATTTGAAAATGGTCATTAAGACTTAGATAAGATTTTTAAGTAAATCGGTCGAATCTTGTCATAGATATTCAAAGAATAAAAACCCAAGTAAATGAATCTGAATAGCAGTTGACCCTGCAGGACATTCCTACAACATCCCTAGAACTTAACAAAATCTTCCAAATGGTTAATGTTTAGCTTCAAAATCTATGAATTATTTTATAAATGAATCATCGTTCAATTTTGATTTTTCCTTGAGTCGATTAATTAAAGAATTTTAATTATGTTGTATCTTAACTATGTATGTTTTCGAATATTTTGAACATTAAAATAGTGGAAAAGTACTTTGGCCCTACCTTAATACAATGGTTGGCCCTACCTTAGTAGCAATTTGGTTCGTCTTGGGCAAGTCTGGCTCAAAAATTGTGATGAAGTATCTGTATACAGATCTTAACAATTCTTGGACAAGATAGTTATGGCAGATGATTCTTTAAGAACCGTCGAAAAATCGCTCCAGATATTTGATCAAGATTTTTAGGCAAGCCTGGGGCTAGAATTTGTCCAGAAAACGATCAGAAATGATAAGGGCCCCCTACCACCACTTTTTGAGACTCAGTTGTGGAGGCAAAAGTTCGCATTCTTATTTTAGTACAATAAAAATCCGCACTGTTAGTATTGTTCGTTTCTCGCGCAAGTCTGGGTCAAACTTCTTTACCAACAATCTAGACAAATTCTGACAGCAGACTTGTTGCCAAACTTGACCAAATATTGCTCTAGATTCTGTTTTAAATCTTGTACAACTTTGTCCACAGTCTCGATAAATAATCTTGGTTAACTTTCTGACTCAAGAATTGTCCGATTCTGTTTCCAAGGCTTGGTAAATGATTTGGCCAAAGAATCTTGTCCAAAACCAATGTTACTAAGGTATAGGCCATCCCTGCAAGTTTCCACTAATTTCAAATGTAAGGCGTTCCAAATTTTAACAATTACGACGTGGTTTGGCAGCTATTTTTTTTATCTAAGCCCTAAAGATTGAATTATTATACGCTTTTAAGTTCAAAATTCTAGTTTGTATTCAGTAAAACACTTCCATTTAGGAGCTGCCAGAGTTGAAACACGGGTGCATTGAAAATTTGAAAATTTGTAAGTGACCAAAAATGATTTCACACCGTCAAAATCGATATAATTTAAAAAAAAAATTAGAAAAACGGTTGACCCTAAAGGCCATCCCTGCAACTTCCCGCTCATTTTGTACTCAAGCGCTCAAAATTACACATTACGTTTTTAAGCTCTTCGAGCTCAAAAATATGATTTTTGTCTCATTTTGAGCTCTCCGAGCTTAAAAATCTAATAGCAGTTTAATAAAACACAATTTTTGTATATTTTCAAATCGCAATAACTTTTGAATGAATAAACCGATTTTCACGCGGGTGGTGGCATTCGACGCAGTTTTTCAAGCCTCATAAATAATCTTTAAGTTTTAAACGATCGAAGTAGGAATTTCGATGTAATTCCGAAAAACCATTTTTTTCGGTTTGTTTTCGATAACGATAACTCACGAACGAATCAACCGATTTTGATCGGACTGGCGGCAATCGACGTGGTCGTTTGATGTTAAGAGCTGATTAGTTTTTTGAATCGATTGATAAAGCTGTTTAAAAGTTATTCCAAAAAAACCACATTTGAAAAAACTTTTTTTTTGTAGTTTTTTTGAGATTTCTCAAAATCTACCGGTTCGAATCTATCCCAATTGTATTCAAAATCTAAGTTTGGTTAAGCTCTTTCGAATGGCACCAACCGCGATAAGATCGGTCGAGCCGTTCAAAAGTTATGAGAGGTTTACATACGGCCACACACACACACACACACACACACACACACACACACGACGACATCATCGCGTAACATTGGGGGAAGCTTCCTATTCCGAAAAACCATTTTTTTCGGTTTGTTTTCGATAACGATAACTCACGAACGAATCAACCGATTTTGATCGGACTGGCGGCAATCGACGTGGTCGTTTGATGTTAAGAGCTGATTAGTTTTTTGAATCGATTGATAAAGCTGTTTAAAAGTTATTCCAAAAAAACCACATTTGAAAAAACTTTTTTTTTGTAGTTTTTTTGAGATTTCTCAAAATCTACCGGTTCGAATCTATCCCAATTGTATTCAAAATCTAAGTTTGGTTAAGCTCTTTCGAATGGCACCAACCGCGATAAGATCGGTCGAGCCGTTCAAAAGTATGAGAGGTTACATCGCAGCACACACACACACACACACACACACACACACACACATACGGACATCATCGCGGTAACATTGGGGGAAGCTTCCTAGGATCCCAAAACGTCAACATCCGTTAAAAATTCGATTTTTGAAAAACGAGGTGAAACCAATAACTTCCCAACTTTTGAAAATTTTAAATTTTCTTAGCGGAAAGTTAAAAATTATACACGGAGAAAAATTAATTGTACTTGTAACAGTACATTTTGATATACTCGTGCAGAAGCCAATTGCGTACCAGCCTTCGTCAGTTGCATTTTCAGGCACTTGGCGGCGTTGTCGCTTGTCTTAGTTCTCGGAGTGGGGAGCTTGGGGCCTAAGGCAGTCGAGCGGTGGAACAGTCAGTCGATCTTCGAGCGTACAACCCGAAGGATCTCCAAAGAAGCCAAGGGGCTAATCATTATCCAGACAGAGCAAGTTGTTTTAGCGAAGACGAGGTCAGGCTTGCCAGGTGGAGCGATTTATCGCGAATTGGGCGATTTTTTCCATGTATATACGCTCCTTTTTTCAAGTTTGTGCGACAAGTCGCAAATTAGGCTCTTTTTATTTTCTGGCGAAATTCCCGAACGAGGAAATTTATTCTGGACAAGATTAATAACTTTTAAAAATTCTTCTGGCGAACTTGCATTTGAAGAAATTTCTAGGTTCGCATTAACTGTCTATAAAAATGTGTATAAAAATGCTCTTAGAAGAGGATGGTAAATGTTACTTGCAATTTGAACCAAATCATGCTTCAATATAATTCGAGCATATATGATTACAAAATTTCAAGTGAAGAAGAAGAAGTACTCTCTACTAAGAGATACTGTGATCTAGTATTTTTATGCATAATTTGTTTAAAAAATTGGACTTGAGATTGAATATTTGAATGACAAGTATATGTATTATAGGAATAATATTTTTAACTTAATTCGTTGAGTATCAATGTTGACATAACTAGTCATTAGAAGTTATACTAATCTTATTGAATACTTAATATCATGAAAACTGACTGTCATAAATTATTATAAGGAAAATAATATTTTATTAAAAAAATGATTAAATAAAAAGTCTTATTCTAAATCAACTTAATCAATAGTAAACGTAAAAGTAGTTATATTTTTTTTCGATAGATCCAAACACATCTGCGTGATTTTGGTATTCATTTTCTTAAGTTAAACTCACTTTTTCATTGTAAGTTTCAGTAAATTTATATAAATCCATTTAAATTAGCAAAGATTAATCAATATGACTGTCAATTAAGTAAACATTAATTTGTTTTAAAAATAAAAAAAAAAAGCAAATTAAATAATAATCTGAAAATATATTAAATATTAATATTATTTAAAACAACACATAAATTGGAAATGTAAACGTGTATTTTTTTAAATTCTTCAATTTTAATGATTTATCTATTCATTGAGCATTGGTTAAACAAATAAATTTTAAACTACGCGATAAGTTCGAGTCTGTTTTATTTACTACTAGGTATAGTGTATTTTCAAACTTTCATTGGGCGACTTTTCAGAATATTTTGCGACTTTTGCTCATAGATGGGGCGATTTAAATAAAAACTTTCTGGCAAGCCTGGACGAGGTCGGCTCAGTTAGTTATAGTTTAGTTTAATTGGTTTTTGGTCTGCGAGCTAACTGGTTAGCATCCTAGAAGTTGTTCAGTTGAGTGTTAATCAGGCTATGGCGAAGACCAGGCCATTAATTAATTTATTCTATCCTGGGGGTCTAGTTCAATAGTTAATTGTCGAGTCACTGGAAATAAATTTGTTTATTTAATTGTGATTGTGCTGTGCCAATAATTTCAACAACCGAGCCTCTTTCCTCTCACTTAGTAGTAATTAGTTAAGTTAATTTTATTCTGTGATCGGATACAAGTTTTTGGATACCCACTCCCTGAGTGTGAGCTGGCCTAAGTAACTCGGTTCTAGAAGGCCGAGCGAATTCAACATCGAAAAATTTTCCTGGTGGCGTCCAGACCATCTCTGGCGCGAAATAGTATACCTTGGTTAGGGGGTCACGAAACCTGCTAAGGTATTACTGTTTCATACTATTTACTATACAAAAATATTTACTCCTACTATATGAAATGGTAATAAAATTAATTAGTCACAAATTAATAGGTGGTATAATGGACAATTGTAATAGTTACTATTAATAATGGTAACGATTACTATCGAAAATGATAATTGTAATTATTAAAATTATAACTGCTATAATCGAAGATGGTAAATGAAACCATTTCAGATTGTAAAAATTCTAAAAGAAAAAATAATATAAATTTATTTAATTAAATTCTCTATTTGCATCCATATGTTAGTTATGCACTTTTTCTCCTTTAAAATATTAAAACAAGTAATGACACAATCGTTTAAATCCATATATGATAAAAATTTTCAAATATTAGAGCTGTTATTGATTATTTTGAATGATATAGTTTTTGAAAATTATGATTTTTAAAAATTTTTTGTAAGATTAAAAATTTTTTTTTCTGAAATTTCAATTTTTTTTTAAATTTGAATTTTATTGAAAATTTTGATTTTTTTGGAAATTTCAAATTTTTTTTCAAAAAAAATGCATCCACGCTACCGCAGATTCTTAATTTTTTTAATATTTTTTACTAGCTTAGATAGTAACTATTATTATTACTGATGGTAACAGTAACCATCAGGTTATATTAGGAATTACGATTTTGATAATAGTAGTAACTATTTAAAATAATAAAAGCTATAATTACTGATTAGTGATTACCATCATAATAGTAGTAGTTACCATCAGGATGGTAACTACTACAATTCAGATGGTTTACATAATTATTTAAATAATATTTACTACTATCGAATTCAGTTAATAGATTTGACCATAAGTAGATAATAAACTCTACTATAAAATTTTCTCCGTGTACGAGAATTCATCGAAAGTATATTACTATACTCTTTTTCTGCCGGAAAATGAAGAACAACGTATTGGTCCGTTCCCAGTAGCCGAATTTGTGAGCTCACGACATAAAATACCGACGATCACAGATTTCTTGAATCATGTTGTGTACGGTCTTCAATCGCTTGACCCACATAGAGTACCATTAATCGATAAAATCGAAACTGATTTTAGCTTAGCACTTTTGCAATCCTGTTGCAAAGTACTAAATGTATGTAATTTAACAGTTTATATGAATAAAGCTTGCAAGGACATTGAGAAATTATCGAGAATGACAGTTATTCGCATTTGTTCATCTCATATGTTGAATACTGGACGAAGACATTTTAAATCGTTGAAAATACAAAAAGACGAACTAGATGTTGCTATGGAAGCAGCGTCGAATCTTATCCATTGTACAACAGTTCAAGCAGCCGAACACGTTTTCGAAGTAATGATCAGTCTTTATGGATGAACTTGAAGATAAAGAACGAAAAAACATTATTGCAGAAAAATTTAATTTTCAAGGTATTAATATTGATAAAACATTGCTAACAAAAGAAGAAGAAGAAGCAATTGAAAAAATGCCTTGGTCGACTTCAAACTACCAGAATTCGTTTCATTATAGACATTTTAAGATCGTTTACACTGAAACAATTGAAAAATATAATTTAAAAGAGTACATACCTCCAAAAAATACAGAAAAAAAACAAATGCTTCGAAAACAGATAATAAAGCCGTCAACGATTCGGAGGATCGTAGAAATTACTTAAGACACGACAGCGAGAGTGACAATGACGGTTTGTCGGATACTTCATGTTCTTCATCCGATGATCAAGATGATGCAGATGAAGAAACAAAGGTAACTTCAGAAAAAGCTCAACAAAAGAGAAACCAGAGCGAAATAGTATATTACACTACAAGGGCAGAAAGTTTGAGATTCCTGCACTGTGCGCCATGATGCCCGAGGCGAAGCCGAGGGCATCATGGCGCGCAGTTCAGGGCTCTCAAACTTTCTGCCCGTGTGGTGTATACTATTTTTCTTTATTTTCGGCCGCTGACTTACAAATCAATTAACGTTATAGTTAATAAATGTTCTTAGTATGTTGTCGATGCCCGCCCGACATTTGCGGCACGAGCGAAGCGAGTGCGGCTGGTCGGGGGTGGGCATCGACTACATCTAAATAGACAAAAATAATAGTAACTTTTTAAAATTAAATTAGTTCAATTGAATAGTCTTATTTTTATTAATTTTTGATTACTCAAATACATTAAAATCATTAAATTTTATCCGAATTTTAATTATTTCGAGTAATTTGTCAACTATTTTGAATTAATTATTGCATATTTTATTTTTCATCACAACTATTACCAGTACATGAACAATAAAAATTATAAAAATTATTTATAATGAATGAAAAAAAATGATTCAATATTATTTGATCTTCCCATTTGACATGTTCGTCAATAAAAATATTAATGAAAATTTATTATTAAGATATTTAATTTTTTGGAGCAAGAGAAAAATTTTCTCAAGACAAGAAAATTTACTTCTGTCAAGAACTTAATTTTTTGGAACAAGAGAGAAATTTTCTCAAAACAAGAAAATTTTCTTGATTTAAATAAATTGTCTTGGATCAAGACACGTATTTCTTGAAGCAAGGGAATTAATTTTGTTGGAATAAGTGAAATTTCTTGTGTCAAGAAAATAATTAGAAAGAAAAATATTTTCTTGGTTCAAGTGAACTTTTCTTTCTGTGTAAATATTTATCTGCAGACTTTTTAGGTAACGTATCTGTTCTTATAATTAGATTAGCTTCCGTATCGAAATTCCTTAAAATTTCCTTTTGATGATGATAACGCATTCATTTTTTAAAATTTTTATTATTTTTCACCCGATATAATTTTTTAGATTATAAATTTCAACACACAACGACATAAGAACCCACACAAGCAATTTTAAGGTTAGGCCTGAGTGCACAATAAACCGCGACAGCTCTGGTGAATGCTTTTTTTTCGCTGCCTCGTACATCAATTCAGTGCACAACTAGTTTCTTCCAGCGCACTAGAGCAGCGCGCATGCGCGCCCCTACCAAAGCATAAATGTCGGTCTTTCTGATTCCCAACAGAAGTAGCAAGTACGTGCTTTTGGCCGTGAATAAAGAAAAAAATTTTACTGCCCGGAAATAATTAATTAAATTTTAGTGACGTGGCTATAGCTTACTCCCCATTGTGGTCCGCAAGTGTTATTCAAAAATTTCAACATTCTTCGAGATTCGAATGCCAGTATTGAAAATTGGCATAAAATAATTAAGGCGTTATTCAATAACAGAAAAAACCTAGGAATAACTGAATTTATTCAAGAATAAGCAGCGGCTCTACCTGCCCGAGAAAAAATATTTATATATAATTATATATATTTATATATAAATTGGTTATATATGATTATATATGAAAAATGGCCAAATATAATCATATCTAATTATATATAATTATGTATAATTATATATAACTATATATAACAATGTTTAATTATATATTTATCACATCTAATTAATTATTGGGTTAATTTTACGGATAGAGTATTTAATATGGTCCTACGCAATTCTGTATAACTGATCAAAATGCAAAAAAAATATCTAGATCTAATTTTATGGCTATAACACCAGCGGTCACCCATCCAACTACTAACCCTACTCAATGCGGCTCAACTTTGGTGATCTCCGTGCGTCTTAAAGTTTCT